ACTCGGTCCTGCTTCGCGAGTCTTGGTCTCCCGTATTTGCACGCGTTCAGGTCGGGTCAAGTCCACCTCCTCGACGCGCTGCAGCCCGGGTCGGCTCTTGGCCCGAAACACGCAAAATGGCCACTAAAAGAGCCCCTTGGGCGCGTGGTTAGGTCCATTTATGTTCCTTGTTCCGTGTTTTTGGCCAGAATTCTACCCGGGCTGCAGCGCGCCGAGGAGGTGGACTTTAGCCGACCTGGACGCGTGCAATACGGGAGACCAAGACCCGTAAAGCGGGATCGAGATCTGACCTCACTGCGGAGAGGACCAGCTGACAGCCGAATGGCGAGCGCGCTGGGGTGTGGTCCGGGAATTGTCGGCCTAGGGATCGAATCCCAGCAGTCTAACTTTTTTCCCTATCTGCTGATCATGTCTTCGGGAGTCAGCGACAGGCGAGATGTCGCCAGGAGCGGATAAACAGAGCGGGTAAAAAGTTCTTCGGCCGCGGGATTCGATCCCAAGGCCGATGGTTCCGGGAGTACACCCCAGCGCGCTCGCCACTCAGCTGTCGCCTGCTCTTGTGGACGGAAACGTCAGAACTCAGTCTGGGGCTGCATCAGCTTAAGCGGGAAGCAGTCGGGAAGCAGACAGCAAACAGCAGACAGCAGATAGTAAATACCGATAATATCAAAACTTTACGTCCAATTTTGTCATGAAATGTTATTTTTATGATTCAAATATTATTTTCTGAACTTAAAAAATATAAAAATATGCACACAAATGAGGTGTAAATCGGGAGATGCTGTTCGCTGTCGTGCTGTCGTGCTGTTCCGACAGCTCTGACAGCACCTCCCGATTTGACCTGATTTGAGCACATATTTATAATTTTAAAGTTCAGAAAATAGATATGAGAGACCAACAAAAGATTTCATGCTGAAATATTGATGAAAATTGGTAAAACCGCCGGTATTTACTATCTGCTGTCTGCTGTTTGCTGTCTGCTTCCCGACTGCTTCCCGCTTAAGCTGATGCTGCCCTTCTTTACGGGTGTCGATCTGCCGTGTTGCACGCGTTCAGGTCGGGTCAAGTCCACCTCCTCGACGCGCTGCAGCCCGGGTCGGCTCTTGGCCAGAAACAAGGAAAATGGCCACTAAAAGAGCCCCTTGGGCGCGAGGAGGTTAGGTTAGGCTAGCGGAGCGTGCATTTATTTGGCCTTTTGGTTAAAATTTCGACCCGGGCTGCAGCGCGTCGAGGAGGTGGACTTGACCCGACCTGAACGCGTGCAATACGGCAGATCAACACCCGTAAAGAAGGACTGAGTTCTGACATTTCCGTCTACAAGAGCAGGCGACAGCTGAGTGGCGAGCGCGCTGGGGTGTAGTCCCGGAACCATCGGCCCAGGGATCGAATCCCGCGGCCGAAGAACTTTTTTCCCGCTCTGTTAATCCGCTCCTGGCGACATCTCGCCTGTCGCTGACTCCCGAAGACATGATCAGCAGATAGGGAAAAAAGTTAGACTGCTGGGATTCGATCCCTAGGCCGACAATTCCCGGACCACACCCCAGCGCGCTCGCCACTCGGCTGTTAGCTGGTCCTCTCCGCAGTGAGGTCAGAACTCGATCCCGCTTTACAAGTCTTGGTCTCCCGTATTGCACGCGTCCAGGTCGGCTCAAGTCCACCTCCTCGGCGCGCTGCAGCCCGGGTAGAATTCTGGCCAAAAACACGGAACAAGGAACATAAATGGACCTAACCTAACCCCCGCGCGCCCAAGGGGCTCTTTTAGTGGCCATTTTGCGTGTTTCGGGCCAAGAGCCGACCCGGGCTGCAGCGCGTCGAGGAGGTGGACTTGACCCGACCTGAACGCGTGCAATACGGGAGACCAAGACTCGTGAAGCTGGTGACCGAGGTTTGAACTGTCCGTTGACAAGTGGAGCCGATAGCCGAGTGGCGAGCGCGCTGGCGCGTGGTGCTCAAGACATTCTCAGTCCAGGGGTCGAGTCCTGGCCGGGGCGAACAATTCTTTTTTGCAAGGGGGGGGGGGGCTGCTGAGTAGGAGGTCAAGTCCACCTCACCATGTCGGCTGGTCTTCTGTCTTAACCCTTGGTCCCCGCGCCGCAAACTACTAAATCGGAAAAATGAGCCTCGGTCAGTATTCGAACCGACAACCAACCGCGTCCCGGGCGCGCGCTCCATCAACTGAGCCAATGATGAGGCCTTGGCATAGGTGAAGCTTATCTCCGATGTGGCTCACACCCCGAAACATATGGCTGGCAGAAGGGCAAAAGGGTTCCGTCGACTAGATTCGAACCAGCGACTGTTTGCGTACCGGCCCATCACATCAGGTGTGTCGCACGGCTGTAAAGTCATGGCCAGCGGAGCGCGAAAAATATCACCCGGCCGAGATTCGAACCAGCGACTAGACTCATACTGGGCCCGGACGCTACCGACTTGGCCACGACGGAACGATACAGAGTGGAACTTTCGGTGGCATCCACATCGCAGCTGTGACCTACGCCCGAAGACACTTGGCCAGCAGAGCAGCAGGAAAAATGATCGCGGACGGGATTCGAACCCCGGGGGGTCTGTGTAGTTAAACCGTGCGCACGCATGCATGCATGCATGGGTCGCTTGAGGCGCACTATTTGGGCTAAAATTGGGTGTTTTGATGGCGGAAAATAAATCTGCTAACGATCACGCTCTAACACTCTCGGCTACCAGCTTGCTCCTGCGGGGCCGAGATCTGAGCTCGGAGACAAAAGGCGACAAAGAAAAAATTTGCCCCGGCCGGGAGTTGATCTTAGGGTTGACAATTTTGGTTCGGATGAAGCTGCATGCGGTCATCGACTGTAGCTACAACTGTTTAACTACAAAAGGGGCGTGTGGCTGTTGGCGTCGCACATCGTATGTTGCCACATTTGTGACCACATTTTTGTGTCCATGAACAGGGACGTGTCTTCTACTACCACTTGTCGCCGCGACACGAGTTGTCGCTTGGACGCCTGTGAGGTAGGCCACGGCTTCTCTAAGGCGCCTGTCGTGACGAGGACTTTGGGTTTAGGCTCCTTTGGACCCCAGACTCATAAATCCTTTCAAAAGCTAAGAAGTGACGCCCTGTCAATCTAGGCGTGGGTCGACGATTGTCGCTGAAAACGCCTGGAGGGTAGGCAATGCTTTCCTGAATCGGGCCCCCCGCGTCGCGGCCCCCTAGTCCCTGAGTGCTTGGACTAGGTGAAAGCTTCGGAGAGGCATTGATATATTTCGTTTTCGCTTTAGTTTTTAGCGCTGTTTACTTCTGATTGATATTCCAGCATCGGCGGAAGTAATGAATTCGTCTATAGACGGTTCAGTTTAAGCTGACTCGGGCACTGTCGGCTGCAGCTACATGTAGCTACAAACAGGGACGTCTTAAAATTGAGGTCAAAATGTCACCCTTGATTTGAAATGACAAGATGGGGACCGAATTCTGTTTCCAGTACGGACGGAGGGCCGCGGGCCCGGCAATTCTAGAATACAGCTGTATTCCAAACTTTCGATATTTTCGGCATTTCGATACTTTTGATATTTCGGTACGATTTCGATAACGAAAAGTTTCGATAATTTTTCTGTATCGAAGTCCGATACTGGAATTTCATTATCGCACTGCGCACAGCCCTACCTGGAAAGCATCGCCGCTGTGGTCTGTCAGCTGGAATTGCCAGAGGAACGTGATGGCGGGGGCGGCCACGACCAGGGCCAGGGCCCACAACCACGACATGAAGACGGTGTGGCGGCGCGGCCACCCGGCGCCGAGCACGTCTTCGTTTACGGACCCCTGCAGCGACAAAAGCACGGGACCTACTGTAAGTTCAAATTCCCAATGTCCCTATACTTGCTCACCCTCACTTTCTTTGCTCGCGCTCGCACCACTAACGTCTTGGCCAGGGCGACCACCTCCTTGTAGCGGTGGGCCTCGCACCAGATGGGGACCAGCAGCAAGACATTGGCCGAGTGGAAAATGGCCAGCAACGCGGGGAAGTTGGCGTACGAGGCGATGGGGTTGCCCTCGCTGAGCACCTGGAGGCTCAGGTCCCAGACCCTCCACGCGGACGCCACCGTCGTGGCGTGCACGAGCAACGCCCACGCCAGCGTGGAGCGCAGCGGGTGGAAGCTCAGGCCGACGTTCGGCCCTAGCGGCTCATCAAACACATCGATGTTTCTGATCATTTACTTTGTCAATACAAGTAATACAATACAAGTAATAATACATAATTTTTTTCACTAGGGGGGAGTAAGCCACACCCTATACTCACATCTTCTGAAGTTCACCGGCACAACACCATAGGCTATGAGCGTATAGTACAGCGGCCTGACGGCGAGGAACAGCCTCGCCGTCCTGGCGTCCATGTCGCCGACCTTGTTGGTCCTCCGCGACATCGCCTGGTCCTGCCCCTCCTACCCAGCTCGACCTCCCCCGTGGCCGCCGTCCCGTCCCGGTGTATGCGTCACTTTGCACTGGGGGCGGCGCCACCCTGCGCCCCTGCGTGTACCGAGCCGTCGAGGAGAGGGTAGCCCCTCCCCACACACCCCCAGCGCAGCCCACTCCGAGCGGCTCAACTCGAGCAGAACGGAACTGCGCCCTTAACGCTCACTCAGAATATTATACCGGCGTGTTAAGTGCGAGAGGCGTCCGGAGGAGGGACGATGACTGCCCATGTGTGCGCGGTTAAACATCAGGGGCGTTAAGTCGTCGACGAAAGGTTGAACTGGACGAGTATGACGATATGCATCGCCACACTGGCCAACATCTGAAATGTGCAAAATTCATTGGCAGTATTAACAACCAGCCTTCACTCGTGTGCTCGCTTGTGTGGTTTGCGTATGGGAGTACGTGAGCTCGTTGCGATTGACACTCACGGCCTGGAGAAGGGAGTAGTCAATTGTGACCATATCGTACGGTGAGACAGAGATCTCCCTGTGCGATATTTGCATGGAAAAGATCATCAGCTGGCCGGAAATAAAGGATTAATAGCATTATGCTCCGAAAATTAGGTGACAAAATCACATCGAAACTGTCTTGTCACCTGTTGGATTTCCTCCTCGTTGAAACGCCTGGTGTTCATAATCTTATGGACGATGGCCGCCGTTGCGTTGCCCTGCAATGGTTCCAGGTTCTACTAAGTCGTTCAAATACAACATTATAAAAATTGTGATCATGGAGGTGGGGAGTAGGGGGTAGTCAAGGGAAGAGGTACCGAGCGGCCTCTAATCAACTAGACAATCGCTCCCCGCCAGTCACCTCGCCTCCCCTCTCCCCCCTCGCCCACACCACTTGACGGCCCAAATGTCAACACAAACATATCGGCCAGGCGGCGACGCCCACGCCATGCGTGCGTGTGTTTGCGTCTAGAATAGGGGCAAAACCACGAGCGTGAACTTGGCACCCCGTTACGTAAGGTGAATCGCTTCGGCTTCGCGTCTGCACCGACTCGCACCTTGCAGCTGGTGCTGCGGCAGGTGCCGTAGCAGAGCGTGGTGACCTGCGTGATGAGCAGCAGGAAGAGGATGGCGAGCAAGTCCATGAACTGCACCGTGTCCAGGTACACGTTGCGCGCCTCTATGTACAGCGTGAGCACCGTTGTGGCGAACTCGGTCACCAGGAAGGTCAGCAACTGGCGCAACAGGAAGGGTGAGAAAACAGAAGCACACGTAGGTTGAGCAGCAGCCATCATCGCCACCTCCACCGCGATGCGAGCCGCACCTGCACTTCGTACGCGCGCACGATGGTCTCGAGCATGTCGCAGAGGCCCAAGTGCAGCCGCCGCAGCTCGATGACCGTGGTGCAGACGGGTGACTCGGGGCCGAACGGGCGAGCCTGGCGACACCCGTCGATACCCGTTACAATAAGGTACCCGTGCCTTTACCTTACGCTCCCTCACCGTACTCTCGCTCCCTATAGTGTACAGGGTGGGTGATCCGCGCCGTCTTTTTAAAATACTTATACTGTACCGGATTCGTACGTGCGGACGAGTTGCATACTCGCACGGCGCCGTAAGGCGCCCTGGCGAGCGACGGTGGGCAAGCCCGCCCGCACGCGTGAATCCGGTACAGTATAAGTATTTTAAAAAGACGGCGCGGATCACCCACCCTGTATTTCGACTAACGGGGGAAGAAGAAGAGCGGGTAGAACATAAACGTTACCGATTGGTCCCGCCTCTACGTCACGCCGGTAGTGGGGGTAAGCGCTCGGCCAATCAGGAACCTTTATGTTCTACCCGCTCTTCTTCTTCCTCCGTTGGTCGAAATACACTATTCATGGCTCACTTTATATCCGGGTACTTCGGCGGCGGCTCGGGGCTCGCCCACCGCCGCGAGCCGTCTATTCACGACGTCGAAGCCCAGGCCGACGCGCGCCACCAGGTGCAGGATCATGAACTTCTCCACGGTGATGAGCATCCCGATCACCCCGTATGCGTCCACGTGCGTGAGGCCCCTGGACTGTGCACACCGTGAGCACCTACAGGTTCGATACACTGACCCAGGGAGAAAACCATAGACTTTGACGACGAATCGCTCCATTCCGTCAATGCCCCAAAACGACGTCGGTAAAGCTGAAATGAAGAAGAATGCAGGGAACATGACACCGGACGTACCATGTTAAAGAATAGCGAGTTCCGTTTCCTTCTTCCCCGCATTCTTTTGCGTTTCAGCTTTACCAGATTGACATCGAATTTTTCGCTCACCTCGAAGTACGATTTAACGGTCCACGTGGTCACGGGGATGGTGTACACGCTCAGCTCGGCGACAAACAGCGCCGTCTTCCACTGCGGCTTCCCCGGCAGCTCGTCGCCCATCCGGAACACGGCCGGAAGGTGTTTCAGTTTCCGGACGTAGCCAACGGCCAGCCCCAAGGTGGCCACGGTCAAGGCCACGCCACTGCTGACCTTCATCACGCGGGTAAGCTGCGACTGCGCGAACTCCGACTCCACGGCTAAGGTGGGGCGCGCGGTGCCGTTGGCCTCAGCGGCCAGGAGGTTGAGGTAGAGGTTGAGGTCGTCGACGTCGAGGCCTTCCATCGCGCTTGCGACCATGTACGCGAAGAACAACTCGCTGGCCAGGAACCCCAAGATGAAAGCGAGCAAGGCCAGGTTGACGAGCGCTCCATACGTCACGTTCCTGCCGACAGGAAGGTGTCAGTTGTGTTGGTCCGGGGGGGGGGGGGGTCTGTGACATCGCCGCCGCCGGTCGTCCCCGTCGGTCCTCGTGTCAGCAGCACGGTGTAGGGTGTAAAGAGATCTCCCGACACCGTGGTCAGCACTGCACGACACAGCATTCCCCCTGCTGGTTCCCAAACATCGCCCCCGCCTCCTTCGAGCACCACACCTTCCAAAAATATTCCCAGAACGTTATTTAGGTTTCCTGAACGATTCGTGCTACCAGAATCAGGGGCGCGGTGTCCCGCGTACCTCCAGCCCGGCTTGTAGGAGGGCGGCTTGCCGAGGGGGCACAGCCCCGAGTAGAAGGCGGCCGCCAGCAGAGGCTTCATGGTGAAGTAACTATATGCCGGCCGTCGACGACACCGCCACTGCTACACCGCTCGCCTAGGCTCGCCAGGCCGGAACCCATTCCGTGGATTGCCGTGGAGGTCGAGTAATCAATCCAGGTTCGATTCCAGGAGGCACGGCGGCGTCCTTTTCAAAGCACTGCCAAACACTTGTCCGATTGCACCCTCCTTGTGGTAGTGTGCTTTTAGACTGATGGCCCGGTGACCCTCTGCGTTCAGCGACCGACCGCTTTCTGCGGGAGGGGGAGGGGGGGGGGCGTCCCACCCACCTCCTCACCTTTGACCTGCAAGCGGTCAGTCGCTGACGCCCGCCCCGCCGCCCCCGATGCTGGGTCACCGCGGTGGGCGTCTGAAGACGCTTCACCCGCCAGGGTGAAGGCCGTGAAGGCCGCGCGCGCGCCCACAGATAAAAAACGTGTGGACGCCGGGCCGTGACGAGTCGAGCCGCCGCGCTAACCAGATGGATAGGCACATACTGTACAGGCGCGGGTAGGGACGGGAGGGGGCGCGGCGGCCGATAGCGATAGTACGCGCGTACTCCATCAGTCAAGGCAAACAAAGCGGCGCGGCCGCGACTACATCAGGTGCGCCTCCGCTCGGGAACCGCGCCCTCGTCGAGGAGGTCGCGTGGCCGGAGTCGGGAGCTCGAGGACGTAACCCGAAACGTGGCACCGATAGGAGCGTCGAGTACAGGCAACCTGGCCGGTCAGGGCCAGAGCGGTGAGTCAGAGTCAGGCGGGACCAGTCCAGTCTGCGCCCGCCCGTCGAGACGAGCGCGCCGGCCGCCGGGACCACGACGCTCCGTCCTCTGCTGCGCCAGCTCAGCTGATCGCCGCCGCCGCCATGTCCAGCCGCGTGATGCTGCGTCTGCTCGGGTCGCCGAGTGGCGCTCGCGGTGCCTACAAAGTACTCTGTGGTGGTGCCCACCGGGGGCGCCTCGTCTGGAGGCCTCTCAGCGGCCAGGCCGGTGACACGCCGCGGTGAGCTCTAAACGCCCCCCCCCCTTTTCTCTCCTTGCCCGTGTTCTGGCTTCACTAACAAACGGCCCGCCTCGCCCGCAGGCTTAGCTACATGCACATGCCCGGGAGCGATCCGCTGCTGTACCTGTCGCTGGGGCAGCTCGTTGAGAGGACGGCCCTGCAGCACGGCCAGCGGGAGGCCCTCGTGGCCGTGGAGGAGGGTGTACGCCTCACATACCAGCAGCTCTTGGAAAAGGTACCTCCCCCTTTCCCTTCGCCCCTTCCCCCGCCACGTACCTCTATGCTCTATTACACCTCCCCGTTCGCCCCCCCCCCCCTCACTCTCACAGACACACTCCCTTTCTTACTCTAGCTGATTCTCATCCTCCTGCCAGTCTCGCCTTATCTCTGTCAGACGTATGAAAGACAAAGTTGTCCATACAACTTCCCCGATACGAATGAAGAAGATAAAAAAGAATAAAAGTGAAGACGTAACCTGTAGTCAGGACTATTTCACAGACTATCCCCGAGCTTTGATTTCGGCCTTGCATTCAATTTGTGCCGTAGTATATGATGTCTAACATATCTTGATATTCATTAATTTCTCACTTCCTCCCCGCAGGCAGACCGCCTGGCTGCCGGCCTAATCCGCCTCGGACTGCAGCCCGGGGACCGGGTCGCACTCTGGGGGCCGAACTCGTGGCGCTGGATCGTCACCAAGATAGCGCTCGCGCGAGCAGGCATGGTGTCGGTGAGTGGCAGTTTGAAGTAGGAGTCTGTTACTTTTGTCACTTTCGAGCCGTTTCACCTTTTATCTCGAGCAATGTTGGTGACTCAGTGGCGGCTCTTGTTCCAGGTGGACATGAACCCCATGTACCTCGAGCCGGAACTGAACCACTGCCTGTCGTTGGCGCGCGTGGCCGCGGTCGTGGCCGCCGAGAACCACCGCGGTGTCGACTTCCATGGCTTGCTCTGCAACGTGGTCCCGGAGCTGCCCCGCAGCGATCCGGGGACGATTCGGTCCGCCGCCCTGCCGGACCTCAAAGTGGTCGTCACCATGGCGGACAGTGCGAAGCCGTCAGTAATGAAAGCGTCTCATTTTGTCCTCGAACGGTCGACGGCGTGCTGGTGGTAAATAACTTCCTGCGTGTCTCTGTCCAGGGGCTGCTTCAACTTTGACGAGGTCCTCTCATCCACCTCGGCCGAGGAGGTTGCCGAACTCCAAGCCCTCAGCAGGACCGTGTGCCCCGACTCGGGCAGCTACATTCAGTTCTCATCGGTCGGTCTATGTTGTTGCCATTTTAATGAGTGACCATAGTCCATGGCGTATTTGACGTTAGCGTCTTAATTCTATACTGCGCAGGGGACGACGGGCAAGCCTAAGGCCATCGTGCTGTCGCACATGTCGGTGGTGAACAACGGCTACTTCAACGGCAAGCGGTTCGGCATGCACGAGAAGCACCACTCAATCCTCCTGCAGAATCCGCTGTTCCACGTTTTCGGCAGTGTTGTCGTCCTGAGCGCGGTCCTGAACCACAGCGCCACCCTCGTCCTGCCCACCGTCGGCTACGACCCCGCCAAGAGCATCGACGCTGCACTCGCGGAGCAGTGCTCAGTGATGACGGGGACCCCCACTATGTACGTGGACCTGGTGGGCGCCGTGGAGAAGAAGGGCGCCCGCATGGACTCCCTGGACCTGGCCGTCACCGGCGGGGCACCCATCACGCCCGAGTTCGTCCGCAGGATGAAGAGCACCCTCGGTGTCAAGAGGATCTGCGTAAGGACATTCATCCCGTTCATTGTGTTAATGTCGCTATCTCTTGTTCATTAATCAGCTGTTCACTTTGCGCAGAGTGTGTACGGGCTGTCGGAGACGACCGCCGTGGTCTTCCAGGGCACCAAGGACGACACCCTGGAGCAGACAGCCGCGACTGTGGGACGGCTGTGTGAAAACATAGAGGTATGCGGGGCAAAGGGGGCAATGTGTCGGACACGAAGTGCTGTGTTCTGCCTGAGCATCATATCTGACCTGACCCGCTTGTTTGCCCCACTTCCAAGGCCAAAGTGGTGGATCCGGATGGCAACATGGTGCCATTCGGCACCCCGGGCGAGCTGTGGATCCGTGGGTACACCAACATGCTAGAGTACTACCAGAACGAGAAGGCCACGCGCGAAACACTCGTCAATGGCTGGGTCAGGACGGGGTTAGTATGAATCAGCTAGCGGACAGGACAGCCACTCCACGTCCACCACGCTCGGCATTTTCACGGTTTTGTTTTTTGTCGGCAGCGACAAGTTTGTCATCCACGAGGACGGCTTCGGTCGCATCGTCGGCAGGCTCAAGGACATGGTCATCCGGGGAGGAGAGAACATCTACCCCAAGGAGGTGGAGGACATCCTGACCACGCACCCCGACATCGCGGAGGCCGAGGTGGTCGGCGTCCCGGACGAGAGGATGGGCGAGGAGCTGTGCGCCTGCCTCAAGGTCCGCGACGGCGCCACCGTCGGCTCCATCCACCTGAGGCAGTTCATGGACGGGAAGATTGCGCGGTACAAGATCCCGCGCTACTCCATCACACTGCCAGATTTTCCCAAGACTCAGTCTGGGAAGATACAGAAGTTTAAACTGCGTGAGACCTGCGTCGCCCTGCTGAGTCAAGGGAAGCTCGACGATTCAAGGAAGTCACAGAAGTAGAGTTGTACCTGCACTCTGCGGCCGACGAACAATTAAAAACGAGACTGACTTAAGGAGCGCTTCTTTTATTTCTTTTCTTTTTAGTTTTGCAATAAGGATCTAAGGATCCGGCGGTTGTTGCCGGCGCGGCGGCTCCCGCCCCCGTTGACTTGCCTTCACTGTTGCGTTATGAGGATATCACTGGGCGAGGGAAAGTAAATGAAACGGAAGTGTACAGTACGGCCGAGAGGGTGGCAATCCAAACATCTGCTCGCAGGTAGTTGGAGCCACTTGCCGGATGAGGAGGAGGAGGATGGGGTGGGGGGTGGGGGTGCTCAGAGCGGTCCCGGCGGCCACTGCGTTACGCGGAACTGGGAGCATGCAAGTGAGCGGCCGGTCGGGGTCGCGACGGGCTGGGTAGGGGT